TAAAATTATATCATGTGGTTAAGTCAATCAGTTGTTCCATCCTGCCTACTGCTGTATCCTCCCAGGATCCAAGAAAAGGTATCACTGCATCACTTGCCTGCCCACAGTTTATTACCCATGTTTTGTGTAGTGCTGTTTTTCACAAAAAAAAAAAAAAAAAAAAGCATGTGGCTGGGGTGAGAGCTTGTTTGCCTTGTCCTGACTGCTGTATTCCAGGCCAGGTAAAAGAAAACAACTTTCCCAAGACTAACTGCACGTACTGAAACAGGGAAGCTGGGCCATGCAAAAAAAGGGAGCAGAAGAGGTACTGAGCAGGAGGCTGCGGCAGAGCCCAGACCTAACAGCAGTCTGAGGGATCAGTGGGAAGAGAAGCAGCACATCCCAGCACCTCATCTTTCTGTACAACTTCACTCATAACTGGAAGCCACTGGAAGCTGCTGGTATGACACTCACCAAATGAACCATGAAAATACCCAGTGGCTGGGGAGGAACAAGATTTACTTCCAAGTCCTTCGTCTGCTCTGTCTCACATCAAAGGTTTCTGCTTTTCCACGTTTACAAGCTGACCACCTCAGTATGAGAGAGAGAGAGAAGGACTCACTGCACACTCACTTTATAGAAAAAGGTTTGAAACTGGTACCTCCCTTCTTGACAACAGGGCTTCCCATTAACAGCAATTTTGCTTTTCTAAATGTGTCTCATAGAAACAACAAGGACTAGGAAGAAACTACTATGGTGATTGTTTTCTTTTTTCCAAAACATTGAGAATCAGAACTTAAAATGTTAAATTATTTTATACAGTTTCAGAGCTTACAGAAAAAGGTAAGTTAGATTGTTATGTACTTCATATGAAAGGTACTATCTTCCTATAACTTTTTCAATTTCACTTACAATTTTTTTGTAGTAAGTCAATGTTGTCTCCTCAACTACTGCAAATATCTTACTAAGCCATCAGAATATTTCAGTATAAGGGTAACTTTTGCTGTTCTGCTATCTAGAAAACAAAATCTGCCTTACAGGATAAAATTTTCTGTAACATGGTTTAGGTTATATGGTCAGAGAAAGCCAAGTTTGCCACACTTAATCATACTGTGCAGCCCACTGGAACTGCTCATGAAATAAGACAATACACAGAGAAAATAAGAGCCAAGTTTATCTGGCTCCTAAATTGTTAGTACCCAGGCCAAGTTTTCCACAATGTTTTCTGTCAAGCACTTAAATCACGTGGATTCCTGAAAAAATTCCCTCACCTATCTTCTAACCTATAAGAGGTGTTTTTTAATATATTCAATGCATTTTATTCTGGTATTCAACCTGTTTTCTCAGACCTACCACTTACATCTCCATCAAGGAATTGCTATGCCACACACAAAACTGTACATCACCAGGAGAGCTAAATACAGAGTACGAGAGCATGTATCTACACATGATTTTTCTATGCCAATTTTTATCACATGTCAGAGCAGTATTTCAAGAAGTTTGGATGCCTGAATATGGCCTTTTCTGGATATTCAGAAGCACATGGCTACCTATTGACATATGCTGGAATGTTTTTTAACATCTTGCTTTGCATACCCACCCAGGATGCTTTCTGAAAATGAGTTCTTTTGCTGTGGTGCTTCAGAAGGAATGCAGCCATGCCAAGTTTAAGAACAGTGCAGAACATCCATTTCTAATCCCTCCTGCCCATCCACACAATGACTGGAGGTTTAGCTCAATAACCTACTAATATAGACAATAACCACAACCTTACGGTGACTGACTTTTTGAATACTCAATTCCTAGTTTACTTTCCAAAATCCACAAAAAGCAAATCAAGAGTCTGCATTCAAGTTATTTCTTCTGTTAGATTTTATTTATTCCAATTAATTTAGTCAGGAAGCAAGACTCAGGCTCCTGATCTGTTACGACATTACTCAGTTACTGCTAAAGATCACATTTCCTTACATTCACACATCTCCAAACCATTTATTGTGCTAAGACAGAACATAAATAGTTCTTTAGATACACACACATGTGCTTGTATAATTACCTGCATAAATTCCCAAATAAAAGTTAAGGTCTAGATGTTCAGTCTCATTCACTCCATTATTTCCATTTGTTGTGACATTTAACTCTTCTTCACGATTTGCCCTGTGGAAATGCATATAGAAGATAATGATCATCAAATCACACTGCAAATATTCATGAGTATGTTTAAATGTTTCTAGGTTCAACTCTCTTGAAACCTTTTATTCAAAAGATCCCATGTACTGATGTTGATAAGCATTCCATCATGAGTAGAAGCAGGTAACAGGTAACAATTCAGCATAAAGTTTACTTTCTTTTTTTCCCCCACACTCAAAATGAGTGAAGATCAGAAAAACAGCGAGCACTATCAGAAAGGTCCTACAACAGGTTCTACCACCACCCCAATACAACTCTGATTATATTAGACAAACAGCACTTGACTGAAAAGGCAGAAATGACTGACCAGTTACTATCAACTTACCAGTAAGAAAGCCACCAGTCCTGGAGCACATATGCCACCTTGAGTAAAAGAGGCAAATAAAAGAATCATCTTACAAAATGAAAAAAACATTAGAAAATTTAATTTCCTTGGTATTCTTTCATGTTCTCTGGGAAAACATCACATATTCACGAAAGCATGCCATCCAGTCTTTCAAGACCAACAGCAATTTGCAAAGCACATTAGAAGGTGCATTAGAACCCTCTACAAAGAAAGAAGTTACCTTAAATTACCTTACATGATAGCAAACTAAAGGAAAGCAATACACTTAGGCAAACAAAATATAGTAGCTCTTCCTAACGTATGTTAATTGCACATTAAAGAACTCATTTTTTCAGTTCATACATTTTCTACTACAGATATTCCAAAATGCTTTTTGATTAACAAACTTTCTGATGCTACCAGTCTAGAAATTTGTGTGTTACAGGAGATAATTACCAGAAAGAGGGCTGAAGTCACCTTCCTTCTGTGCTGAGAGGTGACTACAAACTTGTAACAGGTTATTTATCTCAGAATACACCTTTGTTCACATGGATTTAAAGTTCTGGGCGGTCTACTGCAGAGATTTGATCTTGCTCAGCTGTCTTTCCAACAGCCTCAATTCAAAGACAAGCAAAAAGGAAGTAACACCTCTAAATATATAAACTACTTTTTACAACTAAGATCAATCATTTCCATGAAATGAATTTAAGCTTCCTCAGCAAGAAACAGAAAAAGGCAATAAGCCATTTCCATACAGCTTCCTCAGCTCACCATTACTTTCAGTAAGTTTTAAGATCATTTTTCTCATTTTAAAAATACTTTTACACACCCGCTACAGTCTGCATTACACAGTATTGCCCATCCTCTTCCTCACTTTCTTATTCTTTCAACACTTCTGTCAGACTCTCCTCCCATACCCAGTAAACCTCTTTACCCTCCTCAACTGGGTGACTGTTCAGGTTGGTTAAACACTACTTTATATACCTTATGATTTTGTTCCCTATCTCTAAAAATTAGACTGGCTTATCATTTCTGTGCCATATCGTCAGTAAAACAATTATTTTACTGAAGTATTAAAACTGTTTAAATAAGGACCAGTGCAAGACCTCTCAATGCTGTACGAAAACTTCACACTGATATATAAAATGTGATTGAGCATACTACAAAATTGTTAAAGAACACCACGCTCCCAAACAGAAACATCACAGGAGTAAGCACAAACTATGTTTAAAAAAAAAAAAAGTCTCCCAAAAACTTACCTGTGCCAAAATATTGAATACTAAAAGTATAAAAATTACAAAGTAGTTTGCTCCTGCAGTGAAATATTTTCTGTAAACCTTGAAGTTTATTTTTCCCTCAGAGCGACTCTCCTCTGGCACTGCAGCCAGAGCATTTTCAGCCTGAAAAAAAACCAAAGAAAAAACAGAATAAAAAACATCAGCCTTGCAGTTGCAGATTCAGACTAAGCCACTTGTAAGTAATGGTTCAGAATTAACAAGCAATTAAATAAGGAGATAGAGATTACACATATAAAAACTTTAACTACTGGAACTACAGCTTTGACAAAAGAAAATAGTCTCAGTGCAGCAATACTGAAAAAATCTACTCTTCAAAATGACACTGTGAGGATTTTATTTTGTGTTGCAGCACAGAATGCAACATGACTTCATTTCCAGCCCAAAATATTTACTCTAACTAGCTGCTAAACCTGTTTTTTCTAACAGCTCTGCAAACTAGGGCCTTGACTTGGGAAAAATTCTGTTTTCAGAATGCAATTGTGTGTAACCTTTCCTTTTCAGAGAAGTATTTAAAGTGCAAGGATGGATCAAAATGAATCAACATACGCCCAGAGTAACAAATTACCCATAAAGTTCTAATCACCTCCTTGTAATTACTGACAAAGCATCTGTTAATAAGGAAAAAGAAGTGAAATTACAAATGAGTAATCGTATTAAGCAAGTAATGGACAGGGGGCACTGAAAGACAGAAAAGGAAAAAATGACACAGGCATAAAGATGGCAAAAAAAAAAAATATTAAAATGAACAATATTATCTTTTCCTTTTTTTTTTACAGTATGCACAATAGAAAAACTACTGCCAGTTCAGTGGATATGTAACACTTGATTTTGTTGTCAGCAGATGCTGCTCAGGGAAGTGGCTGAATCACCATCCCTGAAGGTGTTTAAAAGTTGTATAGATATGGTGCTTAGGGACATGGTTTAGCAGTGGATTTTGTAGAGTTAGGTTCATGGTTGGACTTGATGATCTTAATGTCTTTTCCAACCTAATCAACTCTATGAATTTATGGCTGTACAAGAGCAGAGGCATCTACAGATCTGACTCAGATCTGAAAGGCAAAATCCCACTTACCCATAAAAGAAGAGAAGCCTATCTATCTTGGTTTCCCCACCCCCCCCTATTCCACCCTCACCCCATCCACCATCTCCAGTGATGCTGCAAAGTTGGCACACATTTGTATATCTAATAGAGGAGTCACCTCTGGGACATGAATAGTATCAGGCAAGTTTACTAGTTTGGAGCATAAAACCATTCCTTCAAAAAGGTATGAAAAAGTCTGTAGCATTCTTTTTTTTTTTTAATCTCACTGCTTTTCATTATGTAAAAGAAAAAGAACTAATATATACTCATAGCATAAAGGTGACAACCATCAGGGATGCACAGGGATTGCTTGTTTCATGGGTGCACAAGTCCAGCAGGGTTCCAGGGCTCCTGCACTCTTGTATGTGAACACAAACCACAGCAGCACAAGGCCACCCTTGGGGAAAAAAAAACCTTACAGCTGCTTTAGCACCAGGAGATAACAAGGCACTTGGAAGTCAAGCTGGCACCATACAAAGCATGTTGTTTTCACCAACAGAAGGGCTGGGCAGAGCGATGCAGTGGTGTCCCAGGGTCACCCCCTCAGGGCCAGCTCAAGACCATATGGGTATGTTAATGCCACCCCCACAAACGCAGACTTTGTACAAAGCCACTGCTTCTGCATGCATCTCCCAGAGCTCAGGATTGCAGGGAAAGTGTTCATGTGGGCACAGCACTGCACAAAGTCACAGAACCCAGCCTCACTCTGGTAAGGGCCTTTCAAAAGCACCCATCAGAGGACAGGGTGATGGAAGCACAGCGTAGTGACTTTGGACACCTATAGGAATGCTTCCTGCACCCATCAGAGCTGACACTGAACCTGAACAAACTCACTCTGCTGGATTTGAAAGAACAGGGCAGGGCTGGGAGATGTCAGCTTTCTGCAGCCTGTGGCAGCACCACCAGCCAAGCACAGCACTGGGCAGATCCACTGTGGGCAAGCTCTCCCTAATGCAAGGCAACAGTCTCTGAAATTGAAACGCAGCAGGGAAAGCCCTCATCAAAGTTTAACTTAAAAACCAGCCAGACAAGAATTGAGACATGTCTAGTCTCCAAGCACTCACAGGTGGCTGCTCCACTGTTCCATCTTTCTGTGAGTGGACAGAAGAATCCTGGGACCAGACAGAGGACTCCGAGAAGGTTCTGTTCCGGGCAGGCTTCAGGTTGGGGGTTCCCGGAACCGACGGCTGTTCTACCTCCTCATCTTTTTTCAAAAGGGAAGCAAAGTCGATGCCAGATCTCAGGAACTCTGAATAGGTACCTTTCCCCACCATTTTACCCTACAATTAATATAAGTTTTGATTATCTTCATTATACACTTCCTGTCAAGAATAATTTTTCCTATCTATCCTTGCTGCTCTGGGCTTCTGCAGTTGCTGAGCACAGTGACTTGAGTGTTGAACCCCTGCAGTAACTGAGCTGAAGCCTCTAACTACCACTTCCTCATTTAGAAGAGCAGAAACAAGCTCTTCTCCCTCTAACCAGTCTATTCCCAGCTGCTAACCAGGCCAAGGAGCATACAAATGGGATGACAAAAGGCCTGGTTACAGCCAGGTGAGAGTTACACCCTCAGAGAAGCTGTGGGAGACAGCCATGAAGCTTTAGGACAAGCTGCTGAACTACAATACATAACCTCGGTCTTTTTATATAACTCCAGGCTAGGGGTAAGCAGCAGCTTCGTTTTCTGGTCCTCACAGAGCTCTACAAAGAGTAACATAGATCACTTCCACAGTTCTTACAGCTTTACCACAAACTTATTTCTAGAAACCTACTGTAACTTTTAAAGAGATCTGAATGGGAGGAAAAAGATGGCTAGTGTCCTTTTTTGCAGCTCTGTGACCCATCAAAATTAATTTCATGTACTTCACTACCCAACCTTAAAAATAAAAACAACAAAAAACCCAAACAGTTGAAGTTCCTGCATTTCCCATCTACCCTTGAACATCTGGTACAACAAAGTTTGGAAGGAACCAGCTTCACTGAAGGTCTGCTTGTTTGCAAAGGTATCTGTGACCATTTCTCAGCTTTACTTTAAAAAAGGGGCTGGTTGAAAAATCAACAGTTTTTAATTAGCACAAAAGTGTAACAGAAGAATAAAAGCAAGCATTAATGTAATCTCAAAATAAGCAATTCTTTCACAGTATATTACACATATGTAAGATAAAAATCAGTATGTAAGAGTAGGTATATGCATAATAACATTCAGAAACAGATTTTTCAGGAAAGGCATTCTAAGGAAAATCAACTTATTTCATTAATAAATATAAATCTTTAAAAACATATATCGTCACTAATAGACAGAAAATACACTTACAAACTTGAAATAAAAAAGGTTTAACTGTTTTTTTTTCCATTCTTAGATTAAAAAGAATAATTAGAAAGTGAGATATAAAAGTATAGTCACTGAGATCACTTACATCTTTTAAAATTAGAATTTGACTTGCAGCACGAAGATATTGCAATTGGTGAGTGACCAAAACAGAAATCTTCTGATGTAATGCCTGACAAATGCATCTATAAAGAAACAGAAAAATTAATTAAAAAAATAGTGTCCTAAAAGATTTTTACTATTTCTGGTAAATGTCTTCTATTCAATGTACAATGTTTAAAAAAAAGGAAAGGAAAAAAAAGGTGCCCATACTTATTCAATTTATAAAAATTACACTTAACAATCACATTCCTTATTTAACCTTTTAAGTTTTCAAGGTAGGGAAAAGAGATTTCCTATTTCTGGTCTGGGGTGAAAGAGGAGTTCTTAAGAACTTTTCATTTAAATCACCTTAAACATCCTTCTAACAAATGTACACACCATAAGCTGAATTGCAAAGAGGGCATTTAACAAAAACTAAACTAATGGAATAAGAAAGCAGGGCAGCATGGACAATTATGGAAAAATACAGCTCATAACAGAAACTTCTTTGAAACAAGCGTTCAGATCAGCTGTAACAGCTTTTGAGAGCTTTGGAGAAGTAAACACTATTACTAATTTGATCTACACCCAGGCACATACTGAGGCAGAGAAGCAAGATGCTTCAACTATCTTTGACCTTTTCCCATGGGATCAGAGTTTACCTTCCCCTCCAGCACTCTACCTGCTTACCCTGAACACTTCCCCAGAAGTTTTGGATTTGGAAAGAGGAACAAAGAAGACAGTGTGCAAACCAGAACCAGTCAGCAAGTGCAGTTCAATCCCATACAGTTTTAGCAGAAAAGATTATCTGGCATCTTTTCAGCAGAGCCTTGAAAGGCCACCAGAGGCCACCCACTCCCACCCCAAAACGTAGTAGTGGAGCAATGGTACGCTGCTCATGTACAAGAGGGACAGCATGGACACCCCCGAGATCCAACACTACCAACATTCTCAGTGCCTTCATCCCCACAGTAACACAGCAGGGAGACAAACCCTTTGAGAAGCCCCTTTCTCAACTACTCGCTAGCTTAAGAAAGCAAGGAAGACTGCTGCTGCCTAGAACTGAAGCGTTCAGTGCAGGTGTACATAGGAGCACTTTCCATTTGGATAAGGAATGCCTTTTTGAAGATCATCTCCCCATTGTCTCAACTCAATCTGCTGCTGCTCACACTGCTGAGAGGTATTGGGGCCCATGAGCTGGACTTCTAGGCAAAACCAAGCAGACACACACGCTTCAGCAGCAGCCCCCATCAGCATTCAGCTGACGAGGAATGAAGCCTGAAGGGCCAAGCTGCAGCCTTCTCAAAGAAGAACCTCCTGAGCTGCACAGGAACCTTGGCATGGTTTTCTTCACAGATCTCTTCCTGCTGGCTCATTTTCTGTAACATGCCAACTCTTATTTGCTAATTCATTTCAGTAGGGTAGCACTCAAAACAAAACAAACACACACCCCCCCCCAAATTCTCTCTCTCTATTCTCAGATAAAAAGCCACAACCACAAGCAAAAACACAGCAATCCAATAGCACAAATTCAATGCAGAAATGTCAACAAGCAGTAAGGGAAATAAGGCAGAAAAAAAACTCAGGAGCTTAACAGCAAAAATATCATACTTCTTACTGTGCTTCATACATTCATGTTCCATACCCCATTAACTCCCTACACAGCTTTTAACATCTATTTTATCACTCCTACAAAGCCTGTAGGAAGCAGAGTACTATAAAATGGTTACTACTTGTACTAGTCAGCATAATTACTGCAGAAAGTCTATTATAGTGTTCCAAAGAAACTGTGCAGTAAAATTAAGTTTAAAGCAACACCCTTCCTGAAATAGTTATATGCTTGCTATGCAGCTTGAAGAAGCAACTATAAACCCATGAGGCCATTCTTAGGTGGCCAAGATAACAATTAATCAAGGTATTTGCAGCAGCACAACTCTCTGAGCAGTTGCAACTATTTATACACCAAGCCCGTGGTGGGAGCATTATTCTGTTGTGGTTTCTGTCCACCTGCTGAGTGGTCACTGAAAAAAGCCACACGGCAACCAGAGGTTGAAGATACACAACAAAACATAACCTTCCACAAAACTTAACCAGAGAACTGGACAAAGATGAGAGTCTACAGAATATATACTCGCCTAGCAGGAAAGCTGCCAAAAGAGAATATATTGGTTTTCCACCACTAACAGATCTACCTTTGCCTTACATAGTCTCACAGGCTACATATCACTTCAATCATGGAATTTTCTGTGTGCCAGATGTATGCCTAACAGCTTACTGGGACAAACTAGGCACTAGAAAAACCAATGGCCGAAAACCATTAAATCTTGATCCTGAGTCACAGTGGGCCCACTGCACTAAGTTTACATCTGGAGACGGGTGAGGGGGGTAACAAAAGAAGAAGTGGGTTATCACAGCATCAAAGAAACCACTAAGAACCACCAGCAGTGTCAGCACAGCATCCTGTGTGATCTTGATTTCAGCAGAGAAGGCAAAAATGACCTCTGTGGGAATATAAATTTCCTTTGATATATCAGTTCACTCAGCCGAGAATTTCTAAAAAAACAACAACTCTCAATTTAATGTCTATCTGGGTAGAAAGAAGCTAGCTGAATAGTTTGTTGATAACAGGTGAGTAGAAAAATTGTTGTCACAATTCACTGGCATGAGCACAGGGAGGAAAAATCGCAACAAAGAGCATATACTTAGATCTATTACCGAGTTAAACAACTCACTGCTCAGACAACTCACTAGAAAATTTTGCCATTTAAAATACTGTATCATCATGAAGCTAAGAAGTTGCAAAAACTAGTAAAATACTAAACATATACCCATCGTCCATTTCAAAACATTAAACTACTTGAGCTTTATGTTAGCAACCTTTTTTTAATGTTTTTTTTTTTTAAATATTCTCTCTCCCATTTGACAACATCCATCCTGCAGATTACAGAGAGCATTAAAAGTTTATATGGTACCTCTGCTGTCACAGAAGATTGAACCAGAGTTCAAAGAGGGGCTCAGCAAAATCAAAAGGCTGGCACAAAATTCTAAGAGCTTACTGAATTATTATTAGTGAAAACTTGGTACTGTTTTGGAATTGAAAAAGAAAAAAAAAATAATCTGTATTTATGATTTTAACTTGTTCACTGAGGCTTAGCTTCAGTGGTGGATTAATGATTGGACTTGAGGACCTTAAGGGTCTCTTCCAACCAAAAAGTTTCTATAATTCATGGCACATCTACTTTCAGAAATACTGCTCTGTGTAGCTGGAGAACAGCAGCCATCAATTACAGGTGAACACCCAGTTCCAGGTGAATCACCTGACAGTCTCTCCTTCTCGCTGACGACGCAGAGAATCCAGTGGAAGTTTGCCTCAGCAGGAGACATACCTGGTCCAAGGGTTCAGAACATCTGCTGGACCACACCCAGGTGCCACCACCTTTTTACTTCTTGTTTAAAACCCCACAGAGTTCACCTTCCTTGTGGTTCTCCATTGCTTTCTTGAGGGGCATGTTTTGTTAGACTGCAGGCACGTTTAATACATGACAGCAGGACCAACTACTGCAAAAAACGCAGTCACGTTTGCCACATTTATTAAACATACAAGCACACACAGACACACACACAGCCAGAAGGGATGTGGACAGAGAAGACCCAAAGGCTCTTCAGCCTCTTCAGTACAAGCAAAGCAAGGAAGGAGGCACTATGAAACCTGCATCCTCTCCCCCAGATAAGCATCAATTTAAACCTGACAGATGCCGGGTAAGTTGCTTTGTGTTTATTTGGTATAGACTCCATAACAGTAATTTCACCATCCTTGAAAATGTATTCCAGGGCAAACTACCTTTACCACTACAAATCTTTTTTTTCTCTAATGTCCAAGTTTACATCTTCTGGTACAATTTAAATCTAGTGCTTCCCAGAGGACAGTACACCAGCTTATACCTGCGTGCACAGCTCCTTTATACAAAGTCCCTCAGTTTTATCCCCCCTTTTTTTTTTTCCTCCAGACCCCCCAAAACTAAAACTCCCCAAATTCTTTTTTTCTCCTCTTTTTTTAAATGAGAAACAGCTTTCTCTTTCATTTTTTTTTTCCTTTTCTTCCACCCCCCAATACCTGGTGGGCTTCTTGATGGGCAACACTGGAGTCTGGAGCTGGCCTGGGGATTTGGAAGTGCACAAAACCCAAATTTTTTATTCCAGTTGAGCAATTATGGGTACAAAACGTAACAGGAGAATTAATTTACCTGTACTGCCAGATACAGTACTGGTCATAAATCCTCAGGTGCAGCTTCTTTAACAAGAGCATGATGTTGCTGACTCGTACTGGGCTCATGACCTGCCACAATCTGCACCTCCTTTCCCATAAAACTGCCACACTACTGATCCCTGCTCATTGCACGTCCATGGAGTCAACACCCTGCATTTATCCCTGATGCATGCATCTATTAATTCACATCCTGTAACCAAGACTTTCCAAATCCTTGTCAATCTCAGAACTGTCTGAAGCATTGCTTGGTTTTCTGTCACTTGCAAATGTGGCATCATTGCAGCTGTAGCTTCATTCACAATCAGGAATACCAGACTCAGGATAGATCTCTCCAGAACTTACACTCTTT